ACATAGTTCGTGCAATCTCAGTTGGTGTAGATATCTGTTACTAATTGATCATCCTGTGTTAAGCAATGTTACACTGTTTAGACCTTAACGATATTTGAATTTTGTTGATCAACTTATAGTATCGTTGAAATCATGAGTCAATTCAATCTAGACCACCATGGAAAACCTGGAAGCACTGAACGGCCGTTTCGTGCTAGTATGGGACTCCTCAACAGTGCGCATCCACGATTGCTCACCCCGCGAGATTCCAACCCAGGACCTATCAGTCTGCTCACTAGTGACTGACTTCAAGAGATACTCCTGGAGTCCTAGTGTGAAGCCGTTAACAGTGGAGTTCAACCAAGTCTGTTGTGAGATATCAGCCTACTGAAGACAATGGTGTATGGTGGCGCAACTTCGTGGATTGGTTGAAGTTAGACATTAACACCGTCGGATACCGGCTCAGTGGTCTAGTTGGTTAAGCGCCTGGCGCGAGACTGGTAGGTCCTGGGTTCGAATTCGAGGGGGGGGGTGGGATCGTGGATGCGCACTGCTGAGGAGTCCCATACTAGGACGAAAAATCCGTCCAATGCTTCCAGGTTTCCCATGATAGTCTAGCTTCAAATGACTCATGATTTCAACCAGTGAAATTTCTAAAAATCTCCACAAAACCCATTCTGATAATTATAGTATCGTTATTAATCAAAATAACTTTAATGTCAGTATATAGTTGACTCTGGATGGATGTTTTATGTTAGTTGATATCTGTCATAAGATGCGTATGTATAATCCTAAGGGAACCAGTGCTTGATTTGGATTTGAAGTTATGCTACAATCAGTAATTTTACTACTCAGATATTCCATTTGTAACTCAACATTTGTGGGACTGAATAGTTTTCAAAAACTGACTACCGAATAATATAATCTCTAAACTGTGAACATTTTGTATCCTTCAAAAGATTGGAAACGTGTTACCTAGCATGAAATGTACATTCTCGCTTTCATCCAATCACTATCGATTAAATAACATACATGTACATTAAATTCATTAAGTATTGTTTACTTGAATCGTCCCATTGATATTTAGGACTGCAATTGATTAGTCTCTTATTAACATATATACATACTGTGCGTATTGCCTCGATATTACCTTAATTCACAAGTATTATAAACAAAGATGGATAGTGGCCATCAATGGAATCTATGACACGCGTCTTGTCTTATTTGCGACTCGTCAGATGGATGTACCTGTATCTCAGTGTTGATGTTCACTTCAAGACTCAAATGAAGTACCAATTTCATTATATTACTTGTCATTCATTTTATGAAACATTATATGCTATTGCATAAGGATCTCAAACAAAGCTTTTTCATCAGAACTATACTTAAATCGGTCATAAATTGTTTTCAAAATCTTCTGCCATCTAGTTATTTCAACAAGTTATCTGTTTTCTTGTTTGTTTTAATACATCATTATATTGATTAATTGCACAACCTAATGAGGTGCGTTTATGAAAAGTTTACTACTTTTTGCTGCACAAGTTAGGTAAGAGCCTAATCAGAGACATTGTAGTTGCTGGCAATATACATCGAAAAGAATGGACATTATTCAGATGTCGATTCCTAAACTGTTAACATCTAATTGGCGATCACTCAATATGTTATCGTCATGATCGATAAAGAAATAAGAAACAGAAACTTGTTGAAATACTTTGTGCTGTGAATTCTATATTCTACCGAAAATATAATATTGAATAAAGCTAATAACAGTAAGAAATTATTGTAGTATCAGTTGCTATGTCAAGCTCAAATGGGTTATTCTAGCTTCTGGACAGATCAATTTATTCATTTTTCTTAAGCCATATTTTGAATTTTTCACTTATTCGCTTATTAACTGTGACTGTTTTTATTTGAGTGTATGTGTGTTAATTACTTACCCTATTCATAATGTGTTTGTAACTTACTTTTGTCTGAATATAAATATTGATTCACGCTTAATTAAATGTAGTTGGCTCATACACCTTCTCCACTGCGCTCCGTCTCATTTCACACTCTCTTCTTCACTTCCTTTGCTACGTCTCTCTGATTGTCAGTTCCGATCAACGACTGTATTCGACTTTTTTAATTCCGTTATTCACTAATGCGATTTAAGTCGATAATTTTATACGAGGATTAACGATATATATATTATCAATAACAGCCATTCATACGATCCAATCGAAGTCAAATCCTGAGCTACTGAAAACTGTAAAAATTTGCATTTTTGGTTGTTTTTTTCTCTCAAAAATTCAATAATCTGTAAATGGTAATTACAATGAAATAATGAATTGAGTAGCAGAAAGTGCTAGAAAATAATTTTGTACTTTTGAAAAATTTTTACAGGTTGTTTTGAAATTAGATTACTTACTTAGGCCGGTTACTCCTCGTCCGGGAGCATAGGCCGCTCACCAGCACTCGCCAACCAACACTGTCCTAAACAGTCCTTTCCAGCTCTTTCCAATTGTTATTCATCCTTTGCATATCTGATTCTATTTCCCAACGTAATGTGTTCTTAGGCCTTCCACTTTTCCGTCTTCTTTCAGGATTCCAAGTTAGGGATTGTTTGGTGATGCAGTTTGACGATCTGCGTAATGTATGTCCTATCCATTTCCATCGTCTTTTCCTAATTTCCTCTTCAGCTGGAAGCTGGTTTGTTCTCTCCCACAGATGGTTGTTGCTCATGGCATCCGGTCAATAGATGTCGAATATCTTGCGTAGACAATTATTTATAAATCCTTGTACCTTCTTGATGATGGTTTTAGTAGTTCTCCAAGTTTCAGCTCCATACAGTAGAACCGCATTGATGTTCGTATTGAAGATTATGACTTCGATATTGGTTGGAAGTTGTTTTGAGTTCCATATGTTTGAAATTAGATACTTGATAGAATTAAAAATCAATTTTTTTTCCGATCGTACTTTAAGCATAGCAACACTGAGATTATGGATTTACCTCTATGGTTTTTGGTGATTTGTTATTCTAAATAGGTCAAAAAACAATTTTTTGGGGATATTTTATTTTTCAAAAGGTTCACATAATGATCATGCTTCTATAATGAGTAATTAACAGACGCTATTCAATATACTATTGAGTTATGAAAACAAGTTTTTGAATCTTTATAGCAACATGTTCTTGTCCTGGTCTACCAAACGTTTTATTCAGTTCATTTATATTTTTTCAAAGTAAAAATTAAAATTATCTTTTAGTGTATATTTACAATTGGTATGTAATGAATATGAATCTAAGTGAGGAAAAGCGAATTGTGAAAATCGTATATGAAATACTTCATTTGCGAATTTTCTATCAACTGTCCCTTACTGTCTGTATGATTCTTCCACTTCATAATTCCTTTTTAATTCTTGTTCTGTTTTCTTCAACTAGATTTACTTAGCCTTCTCCTGTCAAGTATTCCACTCCTGATGAGTGTTAACATAATACTTATGTTGAAAGACAGAAGTAGTATATACCAAAGATAAAAAGAAATTTGAAATAAAATTCTCTGAAATTATTTAATGCGAAACTTCAAGTAAATAATACCAAGTCAAATAAAACTTCACCTCATTGCACAAGCAGGTGGCTATCAGGACTCAGTAGATAAATGGATAATGTCATGGCGATTGAATTGAACGGTATAGGGTTTTGAGTCTCAAAGTGAACATCAACTCTGAGAGGCAGGTACGTCTAGCTGACGAGTCACAAATATAGGATGAAACATGTGTCCTGGATTCCACTGCTAACCAGTATTCATCACTGCTTAATTCACTGTATTATTTATGAAATTATTGACCGTAAATTTTAACTTCCTAACTAATTATATATAACTTTAATTCGTTCATTCATTGTTAAAAATTATCAATCAAGAAAGGATCTAGCTTAGATTGACTCATGAATTGAATTGTTAAAATGACTACAAATTTTACAGAGTATTCTTCGTTCACATACCCCAATGGAACTCATACTTATCAGTATGGAGTTGTAGAGGTTATGAATTTTTTAATTGAGATCATAATTCGATTCATGTTGGACCAACATTGAAAATCTGGAAATTACTACTGAGAATTCCTATAATAGAATGAAACAGTCTTCCAGTGCTCTCAAGTTTTCAATAGTAGTCTAACATCAGTTCATTCATGATCTCAATCAGAAATCCATACTGCCAATTATTCTCATTTTCAATGAAAAAAGTAACAATACACCACCTTATAATCTAATCATAAACTATAAGGCAAATCAGTAATTTCTTTAATAATTTATATTATATAATTCTATTCACAAATGAATAATCTAAACTATTAAATTTCAATGATCAAAACTATCATAATGCCAATAAGAGACTGATCAATTTCAGTCCAAAAACATCAATGGGAAGATTCAAATAAAACAATATCAAGTGAATTAAACTTCAACCCATTGCACAAGCAAGTGGCTATCAGGACTCAGTAGCTAAGTGGATAACGCTATGGCGTTTGAAGCGAACGGTACTGAGTTCGAGTCCCAGAGTGAACATCAACTCTGAGATGCAGGTACATCCAGCTGACGAGTCCCAAACAGGACGAAACGCGCGTCCTGGATTCCACTGCTAGCCACTATCCATCTTTGCTTACAATGCTTGTAAATTAAGGCAATATCGAGGCATACGCACAGTATGCACATATGCCAATAAGAGACTGATCAATTTCAGTCCAAGAACATCAATGGGAAGATTCAAATAAAACAATATCAAGTGAATTATCATAATGACTGATTTGTTTATTATTCACACATGTCTAAAGTAAATTAATAACCAATGAATGAATCATAAATTAACCTTGAGTATTGACTCATTCTACCTCATTTAAAATAATTTAAACGTTTTATCCATAGATTTAATTGGTTGATTTAAGGTCATTGAATTTATGAACCAATCAGAAAAGGGTGGGATGTTTACTAATATATATATATAAGAAAATAAGTCACAAATTGTTTCTCATTAATATTGTCTAATGTAATATTGAAACAAAATAATGATTATCATTAGTTCTTCTGTATACATTTGTGGAACTATAATCAATTGAACATATTTTTATATTATTCCTATAGATACTCTAAAGTAACACTTTAAAAAAACAAACTGTTTCCTATTTCAATTATTTCTTGATTAATGGCTTCAGTATTAACATCACTTGCAAATAAATTAGCTCGTAGACTAAGTGATACACAAGTTCCTTCATCGGTTCGATTTGATGTCGATGGTAAGTGATGTGTATGATTTAATTTTCAAGAAAAAAAAATTAAATTCTAGGTTGTAGTATCAGTTACTATGTTAAGCTCATAATTATTTATTCTAGCTTTTGAACAGATCAATCTATTCATTCTACTCAAGCTACATTTTGACCTTGTCATTTGTTCACTTATCACCTTTGACTGTTTTTATGTGAGCGTAAATCGATTGTAGTGTCGGCTACTATGTTAAGCTCATAATTATTTATTCTAGCTTTTGAACAGATCAATCTATTCATTCTACTTGAGTCACATTTCGATCTTATCATTTAGTCACTTATCAACTTTGACTGATTTTATGTCAGCGTATTCCTGTGTACTTCTTATTCTACTCATTACATGACTGTAACTTATTTTGTTTGGCTATAAATATGGATTCACTCTTGGTTAAGTAGAGTTGGCTCACATGCCATCTCCACTGAATGTCATTTCGCTTCGCACTCTTTTCTTCGCTTCATTCTTCTGAATGTCTATTCAAATCTATGAGTGTACAAAATATACGCATTCAAAAATCCATTTTTGTATTTCGCTTATTTAATTCTTTTATTTACTCACTCGATTTACGTCGATAATTATACACGAGAATTGACGACATGTATATATAGGCACAAGAAGAGAGATTTTTAAGTCTTAAGTTCCATTCCATGTAGAGTTATAGTTAGGAGGAAAAGCTCCTGATAAATTAATATCCGCGGTGACATTTATTCATAGATAAATCACCTAACTACACAAAATATTGATTGGCAACAAAATTATCTGAATTCACTAATTTGTATGAATTGATTGTAATTTTTGTCCACTGAATTCCAATTACTTAAACGTTAATGTACATTTAAGATAGCAGTTCTACTAATTGTTAATAGTATTCCAAGTTTCTATATTTACATTCAATCTAAAGGCGAAATACCTAAAATATATCATAGAAATAATAATTATCAATATTATAGACTGTAGTCTTTAAGAAATTATAATGAATGTTCACCTAGTTTTGTTCACTGAGTTGGATGGTTTGGTTGTAGAGCTTTCATCGTTCTTCTGAACATCATCAGCACAAACTTCAGGTAGAAGCGAAATGATTGAACTTCTCCACATATTGCTCACCGCTTGTCCTCCGGACCTCGATCTTGATTGGTTACTGTTGACTTTTAACCTGTCATTATTTACAAACTGTGAGCCATATGTAGAGGAATTCAAAAACTTCACTTCTACTTGACGTTTGTGATGATGATGTTCAGAAGAACCATCCAGTTCAGAGAGAAAAACTCTATTAAAATCATTCGCCTGAGCTATAAATCTTCTTCACCGTCTCAATGTTCAAGCTAAACCATTTTCGCTTTTAAAGATGTATACGCAATATTGTTTACTTACTTACGCCTGTTACCTCTGATTCAGGAGCATAGGCCACCCACCAGCACTCTTCATCCAATCCTATCCTTGGCAATCCTTTCAAGTTCTTTCCAGTTGCTATTCATCCATTTCATGTCTGCTTCCAATTCTCGAAGTAGGGTCATCTTCGACCTTCATCTTTCCAATTTCCCTTCCGGATATATAAATATATATCTGCTAAGAAAATCTGTCCGTTTTTGCAATTAATAATTTCATAGATTATTCCATCCTGACCGTTTTCAAACTGGTTTGAATTTGGGTTACATTTTTCCTAAGTTCTCATCTACCAGATGTTTGTGACTTTATTTTAATTCTTAATTCATTATGAATACAAAATTAAAAAAATGGAAATATACATTTTCATCATATCAACATTTTTCCAAAGTCTCATAGTTACCCAGTTGGATCTCACTACACGGAAATGATACATTTTCACATTAAACTAAGAAAAACTAAATGATACTATGTTATCTAAAAGGATTGGAACATTTCAGATTTGTGTCCATATGGGAAAATAAAGCGTTGATCAAAATAATTAACTTAATCATGAAGCTTAAATATGTTTATTTTAACACTTTATAAATATTTATACTAAAAGAATCTTATAGACTAATCAAATATAAAGAATGTTTGTGTGGATAATTACATTTCATCACTTTAATATCATCATTATATTGTGTTCATCTTGCTGTGCTAATGAGGTATGCCAACTTGGACTGATGCATATATGTGCCTGGTCCTACGTTGTAGCTAACTGACTGACTGACATCATTATATTTCAGCGTTTATAAGTTGACTGACAAATTCTTTCCCATCTAATTCCTTAAAGTAATTAAGCTTATCGATCATCTCTCTTATCATAGTAGCTAGTTTACCCTTAGTGTATTAATTATGATCACTCCGAGGTTGAAAGATGAATTGCCTAGACTAGCCACTTTTTTCCTGTATCTATCAATTCAGCTGCTCCTGTGGAGCAAGTTATATTGGCAAATAGTCTAGGAATTTGTATATTCAAGCTCGTGAGTACCTCTCAATGTGGTTAGGCAAAGGTGTAGTTAAAACGGTTAACAGTTCCATTTGAACTCATTTAATTAATTCAGAAGGGACATACAGCTAACATCGAGCAATCTTTCGCAAGAATTTTTTAATGAATTTATTCAGTTATCTTTCCAACTTATGCTTAATGACATACTTTTCGATCGGTTGAGAAATGAACATGTTAAATACTGCATATCATCTGGTATTTAATTACGCGGTTATAATGTTACCATTAAAAGTAGATCAAATGGATTGTCGTAATTCATTTATAGATTTTGACAAAATAATCCCTCATATATATATAATAGTACTTTTTTTCTTATATCCGATATTTTAGCTGTGCCTGTCCACTTGTAAACGCTTTACTATTATTATTATTATTATTATTATTATAGACCACCTTGAGTTACTTTGATAGTTTAAATATGCTCGAACAATAATAAAGTATCAACTTATAAATTGATTAGAAGTTGAGCTGAACTCTGTAGGGGGGAAGTTACATGGCAACCAAAATAGATATAATCTTTTTTAAAATCTTATTTTCATGTTTTTAGATATATTTTCTTGTTTCTTGATGCTTTTCAATTGTTTAGATTTAAAGTATGCATCTCAATATCATATTTGTGTTCATGAGCTAATCCAGATTTGAACTAGATTACGCTTCAGATGTTGTTATTTCATAGATAACAATATAAATTATGTTATTGATGAAAACAAATGGATAAATAAATTTCTAGACCAGAATTCCATGGTACAAATGGTACAAATTGAATGTAAACAACAATTGAAATCATCAAATTATAATTAAATTAGAAATGATTTAGATTATCTTATAGTGAATAGGAACATTGTTTGGAACAATCGAATGTATTTCAATACAGAACGTCTTAATAAAATCTAAGAACCATATAGTAAATACGTCATTTGTAAAACGTCAATCGATTGTTACAGACTTGATTGTTCTCTTGTTTCCATACCAATCATTCTTTGTTCTCGTTCTCTTTTTTTTTCCTTGATCTTCTTAACCTTCTACCGCCAGGTATGTCACTTTCTATTGATGATATATACTACTTATATCTGTTGATATCAGTAGCATACACCACAATCACGTCGTTGACTGAATTTTAATAATTTATCGAGAAAATCCAAATCATTATAAATCAAATTAAAGACTTATACCAGTTGAACAAGTATGTGTTATTTGAACTCATTATCTAAGTGAATAATGAGTTATGTGTTTAAAGTAAAAGATAGTGTATTAAAATCCTAAAGTAAACATTAGTACTAGGATACAGGTACAAATGGTCGATGAATCTCAAGTGTGACAAAAAAGGTAGATTCAACTCCACACTGTTTCTTAAATCAAACCAGAATTTATAACATCTGAAAGCGTATACTGAGAACAATCTAGAATCATTTGTCTACGTTAAAAAAAAGACTTATTCAATCTTATCATGATAACTCTATGAAGAAAAAACAAAATAGGTTTCAGAGTAAATTTGTCCACGGATTTTCTGTTTAATACAGGAAAATATAACGTCAAAATTGTTTTTTTTGTTCCTGGCTAAAACACAAATACACTAGAAACGGAAGTATATAGACAATATACGAATATGCTGAATTTTCTGATTGAAACGTAAATAAATGTAAATAAAAGGTGTGTTTTTTTTGTCGAAAACATGCAAAGCTTCTCTTTTCTAAAACATTTTTTAAGTCTTCAAGATGTTGATGTCATACATCCTTTTAAAATAACCGGATTTCCTTGTAGCTGTATTTAAAAAAAGTTGACCAATCAATATCCCATACATTCAATAATACAACATTTTGAGATGGTGGAGAAGATTTATAGCTCAGTTGGATGATTTTGATGGAGTTTTGTTCTTTGAGCTGGACGACCAAAACATCCAGCTCAGAGAACAAAACTCCATGAAAATAATACAACATCATTGAATAAATATCAATCCACTGCACATATGATCATAAAAAAATAATCAAATTCATCTTTCGACTCTAATATGAAGAATGAATATGATTAGTTGTGTATACAAAATCAAATATATACAGATTGCAAGCACTGAAACACATGAAAACTTGTATAGTAGTAATAGTAATTTTCTTAGTTTAAATCATTCAGTGATCTCATCTAGACCATCACTGAAAACTTGGAAGTAATGGATGGTTGTTTCGTCCTAATATGGAACTACTCAGCGAATTGCATCTTCTACCCTGAATCCGACAAACGAACCAATGATCTACGATCTCTCATACAAGCTCTTAATCACAAAGAGCAGATAGTGATTTAAATTATGAAAATTTTACAAACTTCACAAATCTCCCTATGCTAAAAATATAACAATGGAAGAATTAAAATTAAACAACTTAGCTTCAACTTACCACTAAAAGCTAATAACTATTCTCTATACATATTAGAAACGAGCTTTCTCATGTTACCAGTTTAGATTAAGTAATATTCATTAGCTGTAATCAGTATTCACTTTAACATGTAAAAAAGAAAAACATAGTTCAGCCTGTTTCTATAGTGGTGAGCCAAAAGAGGTTGAAAGGTCTGTTCTTAAACATTTAATTGATTTTGATCACTCAACTAACGCATATACTTATATTAAGGTTGTTCACTGAACTTTTGTAAATCTACCAATTCTTTCTCATCTTTAACACTCTGAATCAAAAGTTTATATTGTCCACTACTTGAATCCAGTACATTTTACATACACTAAATGCTTACCATGCTTACCTTGGCTACTAGTTACTGTTACTTTAATTCCATATATTTTTGTGTCTGATAACTTTTTAGATTCATACAGTATGTTTGTGTAACCTTTAAGAGTTTAGTTATAATTTCCTTTTCTATCCAGCCTCGCGAGATTCGAAGCAGTGACCAGTGCAGTTCAACCAGGTCTGTTGTGAGATAGTAACTCACTGAAGACAATGGCGAATGTGTCGCTCAATTTTGTGAGTTAGTTGAAGTTAAACATTAACACCGTTGGATTCTGGCTCAGTGGTTCAGTGGCTAAGCGCTCGCGCGAGACTGATAGGTCATGTGCTCAAATCTCGCGAGGCGGGATCGTGGATGCACGCTGCTGAGGAGTCCCACAATAAGACGAAACGTCCATCCAGTGCTTCCACGCTTTCCATGGTGGTCTAGCTTCAATTGACCCACGATCTCAACTATTAAAATCTACAAGTGATCGAATAAAGAATTCCTCAAGTTTCACTGATAACAAAACACTATGGCACTACTTTAATTTCAATAAATCATATTTTAAAGTTTAAATCTCTTTGTACCTATCCTGATGGTTTATTCATCTTTGCATTGTTTGTTTGTATCTTCCCATTGATATCTCTTACTGACATATGTGCATCTGGTGCGAATAACCTCGATATGCTTTAATTTTACAATCATTTTAAGAGACTGATCAGTTGCAGTACTAGATACCAATTAGAAGTATAAAACAAACGAGACAAAACAAAATGATTTAAAGCTTCCCCCCGTTGAACAAGTAATTATCTATCTAAGCTTATTAGCTAACTGGATGGCGTTTCAAGTAAACGGTACTAGGTTTGAGTCCCAGAGTGAACATCAATTCTAAGATGTGGTAATATCCAACTGACAAATGCCAAATAGGACGAAACGCCTGTCCTGAATTCCAATGCTAGCCACTATTCATCTCTGCTTGTAATACTTATCATTTATATTTCAACTAATTAATCTGAACTCATCACATTTTGAAGATTTGCTTATTCTTGAAGTTCATAATCATATTTTATTCATTTACTTTATAGTATAAAGGGGTGTTTATAAGCCCGTCAACCCATTGTTACAGTTTTAATTGATTTTCCCGGTTTATTCATTGAATAAACTATTTATATATGACATCTTATTATGATTAATTATCTTAACACTTGTGTTGGATCTGTTGTAATCCTTTCAATAAAATGTTGGTATGTATAAAGTATCATTTATAAAATTACAAACTGTTATCAGCTAATGATAAAACAGAATATTCAATAAGATAAATTAATGTAACTTTGCCTAAATCATTGTTCATAAGTGTGCTTTTTGTTCCATCCACTTGGATAAAAGGAACATTGTGTTTGAAAAAAATAACCCACATTATTATACAAAGGTTATTTTCAAATTTTCCACAGCTAAAATATTTAGACTAATGGTTATATCATGGATTAGTTGAAGTTGGACATTAACACCGTTGGACAACAGCCAGCTCAGTGGTCTAATAGTTAAGCGCTCGCGCGCGAGACTGATAGATCCTAGGTTCCAATCTCGTGAGGCGCACTGCTGAGTAGTCCCATACTAAGACGAAATGGCTGTCCAATGCTTCCAGGTTTTCCTTGGTGATCTAGCTTCGGTTGGATCATGATCTTAACTATATATGATAACACTGTTTAAATAAATGGAATCATATGATTTTGAGATGGTGGATGATTTAGGTATAGTTTTTTTAGCTGGATGGTTTGGTCGTGAAGCTTCCAGTGATCTTCTGAAAAAATCTCATCAGCATAAACACTTCATTTCTACTTGAAGTTTGCGTTGATGATGTTATTCAGCCTAGAGAACAAAACACCTGAACAAATGGAATTGTTGTACGACATTAGAATACACCACTTATCATAAATATGATGTGGATCAATTGATTAATTGTTAAAAAAAGTCGGTTTACACCCAGTAGGTTGCAGATTAGAGTCTTCAACTAATTATTTGCGTTTGGGTAGCTTGAATAGGATCACTATCCCTCATAATAACAGTAAGGCTTAAAGCTGAAAACAAACCTGTAGTTTTCATACGAGTTACATGATTAATTCATTTTCGTATTGATAGTTTGAATCTTCTCATTGGTACATATGCATACTGTGTGGATTGCCTTAAGTCACTAGCATTATATGCAGAAACTATGATGGTCAGCAATGAAATCCAGGACACCCGTTTCGTCCTATTTGGGACTAGTCAGCTGGATTTACCTTCATCTCACGGGAATATATAACGATGATGATTAAATAATATGATTAAATTCTACGATGTGATCAGTTGTGCTGTTTTGAACACGAGAAGTTAAGGAATCCTATTATTTCTGTTTTCTGATGCATTTTTTATATATAGATAGAATTTATTCAAAAGATTATGATATTCTTTTTTAACATTATAGGTCCTCCAAGAAATTCTCTACTAAGGCGTCAAAGTGGTAAGTAGTGTAATGTGATATGTACTACTCAAAATAATTTCGTGAATATTACTGTTTTGTCAGTTTAAAATATACCTTCAAATACAATCGATATCAGTTGAATAACTGATGGGAACCAGAGTACCATTCTGTGTGTATTTTAGTCAGTGCATCTAGATGTAGGTCCGAAGCTAAAAGTTGTGAGATGATTACTGCTTTCCATTTTACAGTAAATTTTCAAATGACTCTACTTCATGATAAAAAAAGAATATTTAAGTTATTCTAATCTTTAGATTTTACGAAAAATATTATAAAGAATAGTTATCTAATAGTTGAATTCAGTTACAGCTAGACCACCATGAAAAACCTGAAAGCAGTGAACGGCCATTTCGTCCTTGTATGGGACTCCTCATCAGTGCGCATCAACGATCCCGCCCGCGAGATGTTTCTATTAATATGAATAGTGTTGAATTACTAAACTTATTCGAAAACGCGTAAAGTTTATAGCTAAGTCATAATAAAATTGTAGTGAACGAGAACATTAATGGGGATAACCAAATGTATCTTAATCTAGCATTACAGAATATCTTGGTAAAATCTGAGAATCATACAGCAAATACTTCATTTGCGAAATACCCATCATTTGTATCAGACTTTGTTGTTCCATCGTTTTCATACCAGTCAATCTCTGTTCTCGTTCTCTTCTGTTTGGTTTTCTCAACTTTATGCCATCAGGCATTACACTGTCGTTTGTTGTTATATACTACTTATATCTGTCAACAACAGTAGCACACATCATAGAATTACCCCATAAATTTTAGTGATTTTGTTTACTTCTTCAGATTGTGACAATAAACATCACGAGTATAGACGTCTTTAATACAACTCGTTCTATTTTCCCCTGTGAATGTTTTGGTATTCTACTTAGTATACACAGTTTTGTAGTTTTTCTAGCTTATTAACTTCTGAGTTATTTAAATCATCAAATGGCTAACATTAGCATTATAGTACTCATCACAACACAACACTGTAACAAGTTTATTTCCTTGTAAGATTCATGATGTTATTCCATTTTTGGACATTTAAAAGTAAGAACTAAATCTCAATCATATACATTAATAGAACTATTTATTATTAGTGATCTGACCTATATGTTGTGTAATTCAATTGTTCAGAAATAGTATTTACCATAATATCCATCCATAACTGTTCTCTTTCAATGTATCAATTCATACTCATCAACATGAAATTCAAAGAAACTATCTCTTTTTCAATGAATTTATTATCAAACTATACAATTATAGGTAGCATTACTGAGGTTTGATTTGATAATGTTAAATACATTGAACATTGGGTAGATTCTAGTAGAATAGTATAAATTCACTTTATTTAGTAGGTTCTCATCAGCTGTTTACAACCTGTGATATCTTAAAATCCTAATTATATAATGGGTTTAAATTACTTACATGAGAGGATTTAGTGGGCAGTTAGACTGAAGATAGATTAGTATAGTATAGCAAGGATGTAAATGAAATTAATAGACTGAACATTGTAAATATACACCTTATGTGAAAGAACATTCTAGAGCATTGATTATGACAACAATTCAAACAGCTAGAAACGAGCGATTATATAATGAGTAAACGCTGATCGAAATAAACTGAGTAGAGTTCATGTAATCGTCAGCTGTATTTATAAATTTACATGTACCTGTCAAAGCAGTTACATTAATCGAACAGAAATGAGGGCATATATTAGATTTTTTTGAACATGTTACAAAAAGCTTCAGAATAAGAGAAAGAAAGACTCTAAACTGTGCAATCAAAAAACATATGCTTGATACAGGATATCAGGTCGATAGCTGGCAGTCCTTCAAGATGATTAGTAAGCAGTCGAAATCTAGTCTTCTGAAGGTTTTGAAGCCGTTACTAATAGGCGTCAAAAACTGAGTTATGTGTTCAAAAGTAGATTATTATTAATCTTTCTTTGCCTTGGCAACAAATATTCCTTCACTGTGAAATTGAGTAGATTGTTATAAATAAAAAAATTATCTTTATTATTACAATGAGTAGAAAAAAATAGATTTTCTGATATTTCATCACTCAAATTCAACCATTTCTTCAAAGGATTAATGTGGATTTTCTTTTTAGTAGTTGGAATACACCCATTAAGACATTAAATAAGAAAGATTGATTCAGAGAAGAGTTCTCTTTTCGGTGAATCCATTTTCAAAGCTGCACCTATCTTTTTTTCAGGATGATAATAATTACAATAATAATGATAATAAACTTCTGTTGGACATGGTGACATTGAGGTAGAATAAACAAAGTTATTAAAAAAAAATTTTCTCAACAGGGAAACTAATAATCGTTTAATTTTTAATGGCTTAAATTTCCATCGAAAGATAGTAATCAGTTAAAATAGCTTAGAAACACTAATGACTTGATTATAACACGTTCAGATAAAGGTGTGAGTTTAGTGCTGCTAGACCGAAAGATTTATGTTGAAAAAATGACGAAGTTATTGTCAAATGACACCAAATTCTCCATACTAATCAATGAGAAAAACAGGAATGAAATAATAGCAAAGTAACTGATTGAAGTTCTTAAGAGAATAAAAAAATGATCAATCAATCGATGAACATGTCCTTGAGCACATAAAACCAACAATATCACTTATACCGCGATTATATGGTCTGCCATAAATACACGAACCTGGCTTACATCTCAGACCAATTCTTGATATGTGTTTCCATAAAAGAGAATGGTACAACCTGTTCTTCTACCATGGACTTCATGTCTTATAATTTTTTTCATACTGTTATTCCTTTATAGCTATCTGCTTTCCCTTCTATCTCCTCCTTAAATCTTCTACACCCAACTGGTTTATTTCTGTTTCTACGACCCTCCTGATTACATTTCATCTCAATTTCAACATTTTATCTTATCATGCTGTACCATCCTTTCCCGATGATAATTTCCGTATCCATCTTTCGAGGAGAATCTAAACACTTAACAATCAAATGATTATTAGTTTCCCTGTTCAGAAAAACATTTTCTCAATACATTTGTTTATTCTACCTCACTGTCATCATGTCTAACAGAAGTTTATTATCATTATTATTGTAATTATTATTATTATCCTGAAAAAGATAGGTATATATATATTTGTGATTGTACAGCTTCGAAAATGAATTCACCGAAAAGAGAACTCTTCATTGAACCTATTGTTCTTATTGAATTTTGATTTAATGATTTATTCACTAAAGAAGTGATTTACATGAAGTTACGAAACATCAGAAAATCTCATTTTTTCTACTCATTGAACTAATACAAATATATTAATTTATTATTATCAAACTATACAATTGTCTACCTATGTGTATACATGTGCACAGATCATGAAATTTTACGGGTTTATTTCATAAGTATGAACAATGAATAAACATGATATGATAGAATGAATAAAATACTAAAGTGTATAGTAATAATAGTAATAATAATAATAATAATCATTACAGGTTGCATAGTATCAACACACTTATCAGCAAATAAATAGGCATTTCAAGCTTAATCATTTAATAATAGATTATAATGAGCATAGAGATGATCATTAAAATGTTTTCTTTCTTTTTTTTTATTTCCTCACAATAATTAAATGTAACATAGAAAAGGTTAAATAAGATGAAACAACGTCAGAAATAATTATCAATAAAATCATGGTAACATGAGAAATAATTATTAAAGAATAGGAGGGGGGAGGGATATTTTTTAATGTAAAATCAATGGAATGAAATGGAAGTAAATTAATGATGATAGTTTAAGGTCATGATAATGATAAACAAACAATATGTATATCTGAATAGGTTTTGTGGAGATTTTTAGAAATTTCACTGGTTGAAATCATGAGTCAAATGAAGCTAGACCACCATGGTCTAGTTGGTTAAGCGCGTGGCGAGAGACTGATAGGTCATGGGTTTGAATCTCGCTGGGGGCGGGATCGTGGATGCGCACTGATGAGGAGTCCTATACTAGGACGAAACGGCAGTCCAGTGCTTCCAGGTTTTCCATGGTGGTCTATCTGCAATGGACTCATGATTTCAACCAGTGAAAGATGTATATCTGTTGAACACAATGTTTTTATTTGATTTCATAAATGAAAAAAGCTTTTAAGTAACTAAATACAAAGAAATCTCTATTGATTCTGTCAAATCTCATAAAAAATGTTAAGATCAACATATAGGTATAGAGTTGTGGAGATTGTTGAGTTCTGATTGAGATCAATAATTGATCCGTGTTAGACCACCATTGAAAACCTAGAAGCAATGGACGGTCAATCTGTCCTAGTATGAAACTCCTCAACAGTACGAATCTACGATCACGCACATGGGACTCGAATCTAGGATCTTTGACCTCGCGTGTGAACGCTCAACATTCAAACCACTGAGCCGGTCGGAATCCAATGGTGTTAATATCTAACTTCAGCCAATCCATTGTTTTCGTTAGGTAATTGCCGGGCACGGTTTAACTCCACTATTCACGGCTTCTCAACAGAAGTCCGGGGATTACCACTCAAAGCTAGTCACTGGTGACTACATTGATGATAATTATCATACTAAGACGAAACAGCCGTCCAGTGTCTCTAGGTTTTTAGTGGTGGTTTAACACTGATCGATCCATGATCTCAATCAAAATTCAAAATATCGGTAATTTCGATTATTAGAGATAATTAAATTTTGAAGGACTATTCAAAAACCTTTATGATAGCTATTTCGATACTAAATTTTCAAGAACAACTTTCCTTTCTCCCTTAATGAACCATTCTGGAATATGTTCTCATACCCATAGTGAAAGTGAGTGCTGACAACGGTCTATGCATCTTGGTTCAATGAAGCAGGTGAATTGGAAGGTGGGCACAGGAGACTATATGTATACATATATGAGATTGTAAAGAATTTTATAATATTTTAATAGTAATCATACATTTATTTCAAAAAATCATATTTATCAATCCCTTTGTGG